TACAGCGCTTTTAGCGGCAAAATCGGTCAAAACACCGCTAAAATGTGCTGTAGTGCAGCGTAGTGGGCCCTTTTTTGCGGCCCACACGCGTAGCGTTAGCGCAGATACAGAAATCTGCGCTAACACTACGCTACAATGTAACGTATTTGCGCTAAACTACGCTAGGATAACACTACCGTTAGCCTAGCTGGCCCAGCATTGCAAAAAGGTCCTTCCAAGTTGATGAAATTTCACAAGGAGGACAGAGAAGGGGGAGAAGTGACCGGTGACAAAAAACTCTGACAAGAGAAGGAACAAGGTCAAGAAGCCCTCTTTGAGGGCTTTATAGGCTGCTAGCTTGTGGTTCGGAAAAGCAATCCCACTACAAGAGGCTGTATTGTATGAGTGACCTCAGGGAACAGACGCAGGAGAACTGATAGTTCTCATATTCTAACTCATAGTATGGACAATTTATCTACATACAAATTTTGGTTGAGTTGTGGGACAGAAGGTGAAAAGAATGCATATTCATCTGGAAGGGAAAGGAGTGACATTGGTGTGAAAGGGAGGAAAGAAGCAGAAATGAGAGAGAGACAATAGAATTCCAACACAAGTTGCATGACTGGATATCCAAGTGCAATCTTAAGTGAACTACAGTTGCAGATCCCAAAACCCAACCCTGGATGTTCAGTTGCACCAGGAAAAAAAAAACAATGATCACTTGATGACAAGTGAAATCAGGCTAAGTTCATCATGCTACCCAGTATGTACCCAGCTCAACTCTAGTTCAGCCCCCTGATCAAGAGCACAAAGGGGCCATTGTGGTTGGATTTCAGTACCACTGGAGTCGTAATCAATCCTACACAATGTCACATGTCATCTGCTGAGCATTGTTGTTTCCTGGTGTTGAGGGTCTCCAAATCTTTCAGCCAAAAAAAAAGTTTTCCTTTTTCTTGTATTAGAGGGGGTATCAAATATAGCAAATCCACCATCATAGAAACCAGTCAATTATCCATTTTCTTTTCACTAATGGGTTCCCAAAGGGGGGTGGGGAAGATTTCAAAGGCCAACCAAGTGTAAAAAAAGGGAGTGTGTTTTTTACCCAAAACCAGGGGGGTTGATAAGTGAAAGCCAACCCCCATGGCGCACACCAAACTGCACGCCAGGCGCAGATTGGTGTGCAGGCCCGCACACCAATCTGCTTCAGGGTAGGTTGGCCTGCAGTTGGTGTGCCTGCCTGCACGCCCAATTTCAGGTCCTAAACGCATATTTATATGTGTTTAGGACCTGGGCTGTCCCATAGGACCCAGGCATGGGTCCTATGGGACGGCCCCATTGTTTTTTTTCCAAACCCCCTTGGCCTAGAGAGGCCGAGGTCACACCGCCGGGAGGAGCCCCTCCTGGCAAGCCAATGTACAGTCCAGCGGAAGGGTTTCCTTCCAATGGATGACGTACATGTACTTCGGCCAAGCGGAAGGTGTTCCTTCCGATGGACGAGGTACATGTACCTCGGCCAAGCAGAAGGTGTTCCTTCCGATGGACAAGGTACATGTACCTTGTCCAAGCGGAAGGGTTTCCTTCTGCTGGACGAGGTACATGTACCTCATCCAAGTGGAAGGAACGCCTTCTTCTTGGCCAAGGTACATGTACCTCGTCCATCAGAAGGGTTTCCTTCCAATGGACAAGGTACATGTATCTTGGCCAAGCAGAAGGTGTTCTCGGGCTGGGAGGAACCCCTCCCAGTCGGAGACTTTTTTTTTCTCTGTTTTTTTGCAATCCTTGATCCCATAGGACCCATGCCTTGCACGCCAATCTGCGCCTGGCATGCAGGCGCGCACACCAATCTGCGCCTGGCGTGCAGTCTCGCGTGCGTCATGGGGGTTGGCTTGCACTTATCAACCCCCCAAAACCAGTCCCTCAACTAATGGTGGATTTGGCAACACCCGACACCCCCAAATGTCCAGGTTTTTTTGTTGTTGTTTAAAAAAAACGCTAAAGTGGATCCGCCTGATAACGATTGAGAAAGAGTATTATAACAAGCGCAGCCAGAGAATTGGATAACCACCCCCAAAAAAGGGTGCTATGGTAGATACAAACACTTTTTGGACCCTCCTGAAAGAGGCATATTCTATAAGCCCATGAGGATAGTAAGCCCTCCTTAAAGAACCGATAGCTATTGATTTTCAAGCACAACTAGTGTGTAACCATATCCCCAAGACAAGCAAGTCACGCAAGAAAAGAAAAGGACGACCAGAGTACCCAGAAGGGTAGAGGAAACCATTCCGAGAACGCGGACACCATAACGGGTCTGAAAGATTGCAAACAGGGGTTCTCAAGCCTTTGGCCCTTTCAGGATTTATGTGTGCCCGACATGGTTGGTCAGTCGGTCAGTCTCAGCTTATAAGCCGTCCTTAAAGGCAGCTGTGAATTGGAACAGCTCATCTGTCAGCTCTGGTCTCTTATGTGACCAAGAGTTGATGGGGTATTGGGTCCTACCTTCATCATGCATGTGCCAAAGAGTGGCCAGTGGAAATAAGCCCAAGCTGCTAGTGCGTGTGTAGGTAAGTGGAGGGGCTAGCTCCTT